ACTAGGACCTTAAAAATTAGAATGTTGATGAAAATTGATTACTTATTTCCGCGGGTGGGGACACAAAGCAAAGTAACTGGGAAAAGTAGCTACTTACGCGATCTTCGGCCCGTAGCTGACGGACACGAAGCCACAATTGGAATCGGAGGAGATTGCTCGGCCCAAATGCGGGAATTTCCAGCAGCTGACACAAAGCCTTCAGCTGATTATGTTGCAAGGAATCCAAAGTGACTTGATCTTCAAATAGTCTTGAAAACCGCACAATATCCGTAGTATTTGCCAACTGGCCTGACTGTCTGACCTAGAGGCAAAATGTACGGACAGAGAAACGCCGATAAGCCAGTAGCCAGTCTTCTAAGTGTCAAGTAGAATCAAAACAATACCAATAATCAATAACAGGAAAATTAACATAATATTAGCCAAAAGTATTTCCAGTTTCTAAAAGCAACTACAATGCACAAGTTACTTCAACGAAACTGCTGATAGCAATCACAATCAACACAATAAAGCCAATAAGAGGACGCACCAACTTCATAAATTCTTGAAATTCCATTATGGTTGGCATATCTTTGCCTTTTGCTGATGCTGCGGTCGTGTTCATAACAGTGTCTTGCAAAAATTTGGCCATTGTCAATTTTGCCTGAAGTGTTCGTCTCCTTTTTGCATCCTAAATATGAGAATAAGTGAAGCTACTGTCGATATCATACCTCCTTGTCTTTATCCTTGAAGGTGCTTGGTAGCATGAAGGGGAAGAATTTGAGATAAAACGGAAGAAGAAATTCCATAAATGGAACTATGATAAAGACTGCAAACGGCACAAGCCTAAATATATCTGCCACCGTTCTCACGAGCTAGATGGAAAGGTCAAGAGGAAGAAACCACCAACCTGGTTTCTTTCACGCCTTGTAAGGGTTTTCCCTGTAAGCATTTGTAAACAAATTCCGCCAGCAATTTTGGTTTCAAGACCTAACAGCCGAAATCCGTGGTAGTAGTGCAACATTTCCGCCTTCACGCGTGCCCACATTGACTTCTTTGGTTGCAGCTAAAGGATTACTAATATCAGAATCAACAAACAGATTTCTCCGATGAGTTGGGAGTTTGTTCTGATTTTTCGGTCTTTAAGTTAGCATTTTTTGGTGGCTTTTTATCTGGTTTCGGCTCGACTGCCTGAGGTGGGCTGT